CTTCATTGCACCCACAGCACTCAGCTGCTGTTCAACGTGAGTTTTGGGAACTCTGAGTGCTCAGACTGGGGAGGAGGCACTTCACCAGCTGAGATCTGGGGAGGGAGGAAGGCAAGGAGGAGAGAGGAGATAAGTGGTTTTGACTGTGACTCAAAGAAATGATGTTTTAACCCAGTACACAGAGATCCTGCAGACTCCAGGGTCAAGAGTTACACTTGAAAAATAATGGTCCAGTGAAGCTTTTGTTATTTTTCCTAACTCAAAGGAAGCCTGTAAAATAAATCTGAAAAGTAAAATGTTAAACAGCCATGAATGCTGTGCTGCTATAGAAGGTTTTGACAGTACATTCCAGTCCACAGCAGTGGAACACCAGGATAAGGAACCTCTCACTGAAACACTCCTACAGGACTTGCTCACTGGTGATCTGAATGAGGGGCCAAAAAATAAGTTTTTCAGGTTTTTTTTTATTTAATTTAGCAACATTTTCTTTCTTGGCTGATGACTCGTTTACTTGAAGCACGACAACATCATTCTGACCACCCTCATCACCTCCTGTGGAGAGGAGCTTTGAGCTGGCAGCAAGGGAAAAGGAAAGGTGGAAACAGCACTTCCAGAGCGTCTCCTATCCCACAGCATCCCGAAACCTGCTGCCAGGGCTCCTGCACAATCCCTTTGAAAAGCTACAGAATCCATCCACAGATAAAATCAGCTGCATGTGTAGTTAATTCTGCACAGACTACTCCTGCCTGGAGAGCACTGTCACTTTTAAGCCTCTGGACTCTCTTAAATGTAAGAGGTCAAATAACCTTGGTGCTACAAGTGTCTCAGATTGTCTGATCCAGACCCATTCACAGAGGTGTGCAGGACACAAGGTCATGGATTTTCTGATCTCCAAGTTTCCTGCTAGGCAGAGAACTTACTTCTCCTGGTTAATACACCTGGCTGGGAATGACTATAGGCAGCTATAAAATATTTAATGTTGGGCACATGCAATTCACCTGCAGTTGCAAATATGAGAGAAACCTGCTGAAGCAACCTGCTTGTTTGGGAGGAGTCTGCAGCCTTCACATTTCAGCTGACTTTTAAATAAAGTTCAGATTCAGAATATGTTCACTTCCAGCCCCGAGCAGCACATCCCAGTGTACTGTTCACCTCTGAAAGGTCAAAGCTTTCCAGCTCTGACAGATCTTGCTGCTTTCTGAAAAGCACCATGTGTTCAGCTCATTCCAAATAAGGCTGAAAATCAAAACTAAGACTTTTGAAAATTTTATTTTATCCATCTCAACAAAATCTGTTTATTAGGAGAAGGGTTTTTATAAAAATATTTATACTTCTTGAAGTGACAACAGCAGCTAAGCTGACAGTAGGACAAAACAACACATTAACCATCATAAGCATAAAATCCTGACCAAGCATTTCTGCTGTTCCACCCAAGGAACTAATCTGATCACACCTATGTCAGCAATCTGGCATCCAATTAAGACTTAAAAGCAAAGTTGGTCCAAAGTGTTGCTGTTATCAACTACTGTTTAAACTCCCACTCTCAAAATGACCTAAATCTGCTGATAAATCAGAAATGACTGAGCTATCACGAACACTCAGTTCAGCTCCCTGACCACTGAACTCCAAGGACATTAAAGCATCAGTCGCAAATAATTTACTCTCTGTATTTATTCTTAGGCCCAGCAAAATGCAGCAAATTATGGCCAAACCAGCTGCTTTACATTACACTATACTGAAACCTCAGAAGCACAACAAGCATTGACATTCAGGGCTGTTGTTTCCATTTTCCATGCTTTCATAACCTGGCTATTTCCAGGGCCCTCTGTTATCTGTGTTTCCCCACAAAGCTCTGCCAGCTTCAGACCCAGCTGCAGAAATTCATTAAAGATCTGTGAATGCCGATTTGTTCGCCGTTTGCTGCCTCCCTCCACTGCTTTCTGTAAGGCTTGTTCTTTGAAAGAACAAAAGAACAGAACAAGGTGGAAAAGGAGAAGGGAAGAGGGATGGCAAGCAGATTAGGCAAGCTGGTATAACACAGCATTGTAATTTAAGATCCGGTAAACAGAAGATTCCTTAGGAAAACAAAAGTGGAAGGTTAGAGTCATTAAGTTTATAATGCTCAGCCAGCAGCACGGAGAAACCGAGCATCCAGAATGAAGGTGCCTCCTCTGCTGAAGTTTCCATCCTGAAGGATCTGACAGCTATTGAGAAACTCCAAGGAACTCTAGGTTACATCAGGTGAGATCTCTTGTTCCCTGGGCTGGGCTGAATGTCCTGCCTGTTGCTAATAACTAACCACCAACTCTGGCAGAGGTGCCGTCTCGACCTGCCCCGAGCCACACTGGCCGGTCTCATCAGCTTCTTGCAACTTCTCAATCAAGTCAAACAAGATCAAGTTTTGCAATAAAACTCTGCCATCAGTGATACCATCAATTCTAGACAGAGATCTTCATGGATTGGGGCAAGCCCCAGCACAATGAAATCCCCAGTCACAGCATGGATTGCAGCAGCACTGGTCACTGAACATGGGTGGAGCGAGCCTGGAGACCCTCAGACTGTGCTCCTGGAGCATTTAAGAGAGACTCCACTGAAGAAAATTCAAAGCAGCTCTTGACAGTGACTCAAAAAGGACTCTGAGAACACCTGCCTTAAGCGGGCACCAAGGATTTAAAAGTCCAGGAAGGTGGTGCAGATTCCACCTCCTGCTTTCCTCCAACCACTTCACATGCCTCTACCTTTGCAGGATGCAGGCAGTTAATCTAGAGTAGCAACATCACTGTATGGCAAAACAATACTCAGATTCTCAACTCCCAGTAAAAGCAAACCCATTTTGTAATTATTGATTTCTGAATCCAATTTTGTAAACAGCTCACCCAACACAGAAGGGGACGAAGCTCAACCACCACCATCCAGCAGCAAAGGAAGTCCCCAAATCATTCCTTGTGTATTTACAACAAGAAGAGATGCCTCTGCTCCACGCAGAGGGGGATGAAGGGATGCTCTGTTGCAGTACTAAGTACAGAACTGTCCAGTGAAAAAATAAAGTGCTTTAAGTCCCTCACCCTGCAAGTTGTCAGCAAAAAAAATGAGATATGTTGGGTCTAACACATCTCCACAGGCAGCATAAAACTGTCAATTTTGTCAGAAGATGTGTGTATCTCCATGTAAAGATGTGGATCTTCTGTCTGATAGTTTCAGCTGATGCTCTCTTTCTTTAAAGATAAAAACCAGATGAACTCTCACTCCAAATCACCCTTGAAAGTAGTATACAAACTGATTAATGCCATACAACATACCCTTTCAGCCAGCTCTTCCAAGCAGAAAAATCATGGTCTGTTTTGTCATTACTCAGGCAGAAGCCTTTTGATTCCCTTGATTGCCCCCTTGCACTTCTCTCTACCTTTTATTTCTGATTCATCATTCTTTTCAGGTGGATTGATTGAAATTACTCCAGTGGAACAGCTAAAACCTGGTGCCAAAGAAAGGGGACATCAAATGAGAAGATCCCAGGAATATTTTCTTAGCGTCCTATTGACTTGGAGCAGGAAGGGGAAGGATTGAACCATTTACATGAGATCCATCAGTCCTGAACTCCATACACACGGGCACACAAAATGCCACAGCCACAGAGGGAACTGTGCTTGTGAAGCTCTTAATGCAGAACTTGCCCTCAGGAGCTTTACCTACAATATTAAAGCAATGAAATGAAATCGCAGAGCACCTCGTGCGCTGGATCTTGTGGACCAGGAGTGCTGGGAAGGAGCTGTGCCACAGCAACGCCCTCACTTCAGACTTTCCTGCTCAACAAGCAGCACACAACAGTGCAATCTGTGCATCCAGGACACCCAGAGAGCAGGCCCAGCTTCAATTTCTCCAAGAAAATCAATGGTTGGTAAGTAACAGTTCAAGAAGGAAAAACATCACAGGAGGGACAACACATGAGGACCCCCAGACATTACTGAAAAACAGCTACTTCTCTTCAAATCCACATGAGCCTCCAAGTAGCTGTTTCCTGGGGATACACAGAACACCTCCACTGTGAGATGCACACTGAAATGGAATACCCATCAACTGCATTAGCAAGCTCCCCAGCTTTAAAGCACAGACAACATCTCTATTTCAGCTCACTAACAAAGCTCTGGAAGCCACTGTAAAGACCACAGAGACTTAAAGCCTTTGATACCGCTGCCTATCTGCAGGCTCAGAGGGCCAGCTCACTTTACAGAGCTGTTTATGCAAGAAACAGCCTGAAAAGAGTTCTTTCAGAGCTCAAATCCCCAAGATCTGAGCAAGAGCCTGCCTTCCAGTCGATTAGAAAAGCAACACTTCCAAGCTGATAGAAGTGCCTTGGAAATGCAATAGTAATCCTGCTCTGAAGGCCAGAGCATCCTCCCCCGAGGCTGATTCCAAGTTCCCAGCGCACAAGCATTCATTAATACAGAGTTACTGCAGAGACAAGCAGCAGAGAGCAGGAGAAGGCACGACACCAGCAGTGTGCACGGAGGAAGCGTCCTGCCTAGCAGTGACCCTGACAGCTCCACCTGGAAACAGAAAAACGCAGAAACTGGGGCTGGGGAAAAGCAGGAGGCAGGGTTCGGGGTTCCGCAGACCTGCAGCCAGAGCCTCAGCGAGCGATCCCCTCCGCAGATCCCACTCATCCTCCGGGGCATCCTCCTTCCCCGGGGCCGAGCCGCGCTCCCGATGCCGGGATGGGCAGCGCTCCCCGGCTGGATCCCCGCGCACCTCCGGCCGGGCTGCCGGGGCAGGTGCTCCCTCCCGGGGCCACAGCGGGGCCGGCGCCGCCTCCCACGGCCGCTCTCCCCGGGGGCGCCCATTTCCCATGCCCCGCTCCCCCCTCCCGGAGCCGCCGGCCGGCCGAGGGCCCTGGGAAAGTCCGGCTCTTCCCAGGGCCCCGGGGGGTCCCGGCGCTTCCCACGCCCCGCGGGGTCAGGGCGGCAGGGGCGGGCTGGCCCGGCGAGACCCGTCCCCTCACTCACCTCTGCCGCTGCGCCTCCAGCGCGAAGCCGCCGCCCGCCGCGCTCTGCGAGGGGCTCAGCAGCCCCGGGGCGCCCGGCTTGGCGGCCGCCAGCATCCCCGGCAGGGCGGGCGGCGCCGGGGGCGGCGGGCACAGCGGGCCGCCCAGCAGCAGCTGCGGCAGGAAGATGCCCCCGCGGGCGGTGTCCGCATCCCCCTTGGCTCCGGCGGCGGCCAGCGCGGGCACGCCGGGCAGCAGCAGGGCGGGCGGCGGCTGGCATACGGGCGGCGGGGGCAGCAGGCGCGGGGGGGCTCCGGCCGGCTCCGCCGCCTCCTCCCCCTCGCCCGGGCCGGCGGGCAGCGGCGGCTTCTCGGCGGGCGGGCAGGGCGGCCGCCCGTCCAGGGAGATGTTGTTGAGGAAGAAGAGGGCGGCCTGGCGCCGCCGGGAGTCGCCCCGCTTGCGCGGCGGCGGCTGCTCGCGGGGCGGGCGGGGAGGCGGGGAGCCGCACGCCGTGGCCGCGGCCATTCTCCGAATGAGCCGCGCCGCCCGGGCGGGGCGGCAGGAGCGCAGCGCGGCCGGCGGCCCGCGCGCCCATTGGCTGCGTCGCGCCCGAATGCAAATGAAACCGGCCGCGGCCCCGCGCTCATTGGCCCGCGGCGGGTGGCCCCGCCCCTCCCCGCGCCGGCCCGTGGGGCTCCGCCGGGTCCTAGCGCCGCCGGCTCGGGCAGCGCCGGAGGGGCCCGGGCGGGGAGGGGCTGCCCCGGCGGACCGGGAGGGGAACCAGGACCGGCACCCTCGGGCCGTCACGCTGCCAGCCTCTTCCTCCCTCGAGTGCTTCCCTACCACAGCCACAAGCCCACCGTGTCCTCGCAAAACCGCCCACCGTATCCCCGCACAACCACCCACCGTGTCCCCTCGCAAATACCCACCGTGTCCCGTTGTATGACTGTTTTAAAACTTCTCCACCCACCGTCTCCCCACCCAAACCCTCGGTCGCACTGGTGGTCTCCCTTTCCCAAGGCCTCCTGGACTTCCTGCGGGCGGGAGGGCACATCTGTTAAACCCATCGCGGGCGCCTGTGCGCGTCAAAGCGCTCCTACAAAAGCGGATGAAGGCGGTCGATCCTCTTGCTCCATCCCCGCAGCCTGGGACTCAGTCCTCCTGCAGTTCGCGTGGCTGAGGTGGACCCCAGCTCGCCGACCCCGAGGGTGCAGACCCCCGTGCACAGCCCCGAGACTCACCAGCAGCCCCGAAACCCGTGCAAAGGGATGGATCCCCACGCTCCCAGCTCCTGAAGCAAAGCCAAGGCAGTGCTGATCGTGGGCCGTATATGGGCAAGGCAGACCCGGGTCTGGGAGTACATAAACTTAGTATTTATCTCCACAAAGTAACTCAAGGCATCTCAGTCGCTTCCCAGACTGGCGTGTTTATACTGCACGGGATAAACATACCCCTCAGGCTCTTGAACTGGTGTCTGCCACATCCCAGGATGATGCTCTGACTGCCTGCCAAGCAAGAAAGCTCTGCCCTTTCCTTTCCTCTGGGGATGTTGATGTGCTCTGATGATGTCCATGCCCTCGGGCCTGGAAGGGGAGGTTTGGGAGCTGTGCTAGGGGAGGTTTGGAAGCTGTGCTGGGCATGATGAACCCTTTGGGGCCGAGAACAGCAGCGTGTGGGTGCTGGTGGCCTCTCTGTTCCTCTGAAACCGAAATGCAGACTCTCATGCTTCCCACCTCACATGCTCTGAAGCAGCTTGTGCTCCCAAGCAGGATTTTGCCCACACAGTACATATGTTAAAGTACAGATCAAATTTGCCATTAATGAGGGACTACTGAGATGTTTGTAATTAAGCAGGTATTAATGTATTTGCACTGGGCCCTTAGAATGGTGAATGCTCTTGCCAAACATGCTTGAAGAAGCTACATGACAACTCTTGATATTGCTTATGGTCTACATCAGCAATCAAACCAATGTCTGATGATATGGACTGAAATATGGGCACTGAACAAAAGATAGATTTTGAAACTGTTCTATAAAACACATACAGGTTTTATGTCTTTTCATATGGCTGTTTCATAAGATCCTTTTTTGTATACTGTTGAAAGTGGGCCATCAACATGTCTTACAGTATTTATTAATAATAATAGGATTAGGATAGGAAACATAAGATAATGTGTTCTTGTAGGCTTTCATTAAAAATCCTGCAGTGAAATACAAAGTCTCCCCTTAAAATCTGGAGAACATCCCTGATATCTTATGCTATTCAATATAGGTCAGGTTTTGAGCCTAAATTATTTGGCAGAACCATCTCATATCACAGCTGTGGAAAAAAATAGTTTGGGATAAAAAGGAATTAAAATCCTTCCTGCTGGCAAGACCATCAAATAAGCCAAGGGATAAATAGGCATGGAAACCTATGTAGGCTTGCTGCAAACAATTCTCTAGAACCCAAGACTGGATTTTGAAAAATAAATGTGTGGCTTTTTTGTTATTCTTTCCTTGTAAAAATAGCTGTGGGATGTAAATCGTCCCACTGAGTCAGCACAGAAAGGAGCAGCCTCCGTGGCTTAGTGGGTTGCTAACTTCAAAGCTGAATTTAGCAGTTTGAGTGTTGCTGCTGTTAATGTTGGGGAGCTTTCATCTACGTCTGACAGGTGAACTCGCTCCCGGTGTCTGAGTACAGAGAGCACAGTGCTCTGTTTCAAGGAATCTGACGCTAAAACAGATGAGCGGCACATCAGCATCACTCCCACAAATGACAGCGACTGGGTATGACCTTGAGCAACCTTTCCTCCCTGCAGGGAATCCCTGGGGTGGGGGGACAGAGGAACCTTGAGCTCATACACGTTCTCTCATTCATACAGCAGAAGGGGGATGCTGTTTTTGAGCATGGCTGGACTCTCCACCCTGCTGCTGCACAGCAGCTTCAAGTTCTGGGCTGAAGCCACTCCAGCCTTAACTACCTCAAAATCCCTGGACAAAGAGGAAGACAGATAGATGTGCATTTACAACAACGTTATTGCACAGATATAAAGCATCACTCTGAATCTCCAATACTCAACTCATGCTCATTCTGCTCCTGGAGCTTCTGCTCTGCCTTAAAGGAAGCCCTGGGCTGTGTGGATACATATCTGAGGAGTCAGGGGCTGCTGGAATAAGGAGCTGGTGTGGAACAGGACAAGCCTGCAAGTCCTTATTCCAGTACTATATGGAGAGTAGAGTCACCAAGGTCACAAGGATTTTTCTATATGCAAGAACTGCAGGATTTGATCTAAGCATCTGGTATGAGACAGCATTTTAAAGTACATATGTGGGCTGGGTGTTATATTTTTTGCAAAATCATGGCCCAAAATCAAGCAAAGATAAACAGGTCATAAGTATATTTAGGCTGGGAACCAGAAGAGCAGCTTCCATTTGGAGGAACTGGTGGTATTAAGACAAGGCACCAGAAATTTCTGTACACATTTTTCCAGACTAAGGAGAGTGGGAATGGGGATCCAAGAGGCCTCATGGGGTACCAGGGTTATCTCAGAAGTCTGGGAGGATGATTCATAAATGCCACATGCACCCAGAGCTTACTGTCCCCTCTTTCCTGAACAGGCTCTAATCCAAGGACCTTGGAAATTTGACCCAAATTTCCTATCATAGCTTGATCCTTTTAAATTCTCTCCTGAAATCAACACACCCAAGGGAACCAGCACTCTTTGGAGCTCAGCTTCACGCTCACCACATCCATCTAAAGACCAACCACTGCATTTTTGGGACTGTGCATTCTCCTGAGCTCATCTTCCTCCTCCTCTTCAGTATGTCTCAGAAAACACCCGGAGGTGCCATTCCCTATGTGTGTTACGTATGTAAGAAATGATGAAACCCTTCCGAGCTGCACTCCCATGTTGGATCACTCCTGCTCCCTGCTGGCACATCCGCCTTCATCGCTTTCCTCCTGCATCCCAAACCCTGTCAAGCCAGGTTTGACTCAAGCTGTCAGTCCCACCAGTGAGTTCTCTGTGTGACCTGCTGTGGTTTTAATCTGCCTCCAGAGGGTTCCAGTTGTGAGTCCTGGTTTCCCTGGGCCGCTGCTGGAGCGGAGTGGCCGTGTCCCCTGGACTGCCATGTGCTCACCCGCAGCGGTGACACAACCCTCTGCTCTCGCTGCAGAGTCACAGTTACAGCAAAATCAGCTGCTGATCCCCAGGAGGCAAACACTGCCAGCAGACCTCTGTGCTGATAACCGTGAGCCTCGGAAAATGACTCAGGCTCCCCTTCGTGACACAAAGTATTTAAAAGATAAGGAGCTGATTGATTGAGTCATATCTCTCTGCACTCAGGAGGGCCCTGTTCTCGAGTCATGAAATTGTTACGTGTTGTTTACATGAGGATTTGTGAATAAATGAATCAAACCCTCTCCCCTGAAGCACGTGGTGCTGTACTACGCGCTGTTATTAATAAATCAATAATTTTCGTGAGAGAATCTTGCAAAATGTGCTTTCTGGAGAGGTCCCCCTGGAGCTCAGCACATCCAAAAGCAGGTTTGGCATGAGTAGGGTGTGCAGCACAGCCCTGCTGGAGCTGGGGAACTCTTGAAGGGTCGGTGACAATGTTCAAGGCAGAGCAGAAAGCTGTGATACCCAAGGGATGCAAGAGGAACATGAACTTTGGCTTAAAAACTCCTACTGTAAACTTTGCTAGAGATAAAGGAGCAAAGAACTCCCCAAATCTCTCTCTTTGAGAACCACCACTGCTTTCTGGACTTGCTAAACCTATCCATGACTTCACAGCCTCTTTTCAAAAGTTAAAGGCTTGCCCTTGTCTCCCTTCTGAACATCTGAGCTGTCCCTGCCCCCGTCCCCTCCTTGCTGTGCACCACAGGAGGCTGCCAGGGTCTGTGCTGCCTTTTTCACACATTCAGGGCACATCTGACCCTGGGAAGGACCTACACAAAAATGCCCATCCCACTTAAATTCCCAAAACAGGATTTAAGCAAGGCTTCAGTAATGCTTGGAATGAGTTTTCCTGCGGTGAACGGAAGAGTGAAGCTGTGTTTCCAAAGCCAGCACTATAAATGGGCACTGCATGCTGACCAGATCCCAGCTAAAAGCATTTCACTGCAGAGGTAGTGGTGCTCAGGCTCACAAAAAGGGCATGGAGTAAATCACCTTCAAGTCATCTATTGCCATGAAGGCAATACCACCACAGAAGGTTGTGAGGGGAAAGGATCTGACATGCATATCTTTGTTTTTGGTGGTTTTGGTTCCTGCATTGCAGCCAGTCACGTTCCCAGCACAGTTCCCTTTTGCTTTGAGCTTGTTGCACTTCCTACTTTCCTGCCCAGCACCGTCTCCCTTACACATGCAACAGAGGAACCTTTGTGTGGTGGCAGGTTTCTTTTTTTTTTGCCTGAGATGGAGATTTATACTCACAGCTTGTCTTGCACAAATTTATTTCTTACAAAATTTTACAAATCAAGTTTAGAGAGTAGCTGAAAATGTCAGCTTAGTAGGAGGCTGATGCACAGGGAGGATCAGGGGGTTCTGTGAGCTAAGAGCAGGGATCTGTGCTGTGAGGATGATTAAGCATGTGCAGATGCTTAAGGATCAGGAAGCAAAAGAATTGCAACGGTCTGTTACCAGAATTGTTTGGCCTGACAGGCAATAAGGAAACCACTCGTTGCTATTTTGGATGGACTAAAAGTGAACAGAAATGGTTACACCATCGCTCTCCCAGGCTTCTGTGCAATTCCAAATCCGGCCCCTGACCTGAGTGAACCCAAGCTGGGCTCTGAACCCATTCCTCTGGGAAACCAGTTTGCCTGCCTAGATGTCCTACCTACATCACATCACTGGTGACATCAGAGCTGTAATTCGTCTGAACAAAACAAACGTGAGCTGCCAGAAGGACTGATCTCCTCATGGGACAGCTTCCCTTCTGCTGTATTGCTCTGAGGGTAATTTCAGTGGATTTCTGAAAATTATTGTGTAAAACCTCCTCCTCGTACTGAGCGGGACTGTGGCAACAAAATGGATTAACTCTGCAAAAAGCAGAGATTGCTGGGTCTGGCACACAGATG